AAAAGATATAACAATTTTAGAAGAGACAATTATTTTGTCTGAAATGCGTTGAATAAAACCGATAATGCTAATTTTAACAAAATTGAACAAATACACCCTGTTCTTTTTTACCAAAATACTACTCTTTACAACATTATTACTTGCCAGATAAATCATATTATATTAACTTTTGACATTTATAAACAAAGCAAAATTTCTGATATATATATTTTTTTTTATTAACAGCTGACATACGCCGCCAGACTGGACACATAGAAAGGAAACAAAAATTAACAAAATTAAATCAACACAAAGTATTTTAAGTAAAAAAGAAATATTTAAAACACACAGTAAAATATAAACAATAAAATAGCAAAATGGCTCCAATGCCCAGCATGAAGGGCACCAAGCCCAACGGAGATTTCCTCTACGTCGAGGCCGAATCGCCGGGTGACTCAAGTCCAACGCCCTCAACGCCGCCCTCCAGCACAGGTGAGCTAAACGAAGTGTGAATTTTCGCATGCCATATTTCATTTCGTCTGTCTCCATTTATAGACGCCGCTAAATCGCAATGCTCCTCACTCTCGGACGGCGAATCATATGAGGGTTACGGCGAAAATGCAGTGCGCGGCCTACATCAGCGCCATCATCATCATCAACGCACTGCATCTAGCGTTTCGGCCGGTTTATTGGGCACCGATGTTGTTAATAATAATAATAGCAATACTGCCGCTGGTGGCAGTAGTGTTGGCGGTGTTGAATTGGAGCTGGCGCCACACGACAACGCTGTAACGGCATCGAACAAGTGAGTGTGCCGAAATTTCGTGAAAGAAAAAGCAGTTGATATTTATTAATTTGTGTTTTATTGCTTTCATTCTATTATGCCATTTTTAGCGATGACGAGCTAAGCATCATTCCGCGTGACAATTGGGCGCGCATGAGCCTACGTCGCACCACCACATCGTCCAGGTAAATATTGTAAATAAGTACATGATTAGCTAGTTAGTCGGAGTGTTATTTAAAGCAATTTTTATACCCTGAAGAGTGGTAACACTCAAAAGAAAACGTCTGACACTGTTTAGTGCGACGAATTGAGTCGCTTTAGCCATATCCGCCGGTCCGTCTGTCCTTTAGCTTTTGAGATGTTGATCTGAAATTTTGCACACGTCCTTTTTTTCTTTTTTTTCAAAAAGCTGCTTATTTTTTTGAACCGCTTATATCAGACAACTTTAGCATATAGCTGCCATACAAACTGAATCGAGTTCTTGAAAGAAAACTTTTTTATTTAACAAAATATCGTCACTTAATTTGGCATGGTTTATAACCTAAGTCAATAATGTAATCTCCGAAGAAATTGTTCAGACCAAATCACTATAGCATATAGCTGCCATACAAACTGACCGATCAAACTCAAGATAAATATCTTTTTATACCCTCTTATGCAATAAGAAATACACCTGTGAAGGGTATTATCGCTTGAGTGTAGCCGAAGTTAACGATTTTCTTTTTTACTACCCACCAACGATTTATGTATTGTACATTTGTTTGTCAAGTGTCACCAGCGTAGTCATAAATTACTCTCCGAGTGTATTGTTTGTCGATAATTAGTTGTCTTTAAATGGAAATATCTATGCATAACTATTTAAACACTTCACAGAAATTCACTCACTCACTCGCTAATGCGACTACATTAGTTAATGGTGTCTATAAATGTCAAAGTGACAGCTCACCATTTCTTAAATTCATTATTTACTATTTTGCTTTCTGTTTGTGTTAATTTTCGCCAAAAGTTTGCGTAATAACTTAAAGACTGGTTTACTATATATGCAAATGTCAAATATACATACATACATATATTTATATAGTACATATTATCGGTATACTGTCATATGTCAGTTCGTTTCCCCAATATGCCGATCACCTTCGTTTATATGCATGCCTACATATTAGTACCTGCCTATAAACAAACTTAACAACATATTGTTTAATTTTTAATGCCAGTCAGATATTTTTTTGCTTTTGTCTGTCTGTCTCTTTGTCTTTTTGCTTATTTGTTAAATTATATATACAATATACGTACATATATACACCTATCCACCAGTCTCTCTTACTTTTACAAAAAACTGGTTTTCAATTTGAATATGTATTTTAGTTATGTTTAGGTCATAAAATAAAGACGAATATCGTTTGTTGTTTATTTTACTTCGTTTATATACTACTTTCAGTCATAAATAAGCTATTTGTTGTCAAAAGAGCGCTAATAGTTACGGCAAAGAGCGCGCAAGATCTTTTCACTCATATTCTCATTGATTAAAAAAATATGCTCAAGAGTGATTAAGCTTTGCAGCTCTCTTTTCGTTATACTCTTAAATAGTTGTCATGCTCTTTATACCGTAAACTGGCTGAAAGTTGGCGAAACTATCTTAAGTTGTAAGTTAAGTGGTTTACTTAATTTGTTAATAGTAAAGCTTGAACTTTATATCAAAATTTTTAGGCCTTTTATCATGCTTTAATTCTGGAAATCTTGGTGAGGAGTTGCACTCTAAACCACAACAAAATAAAATCAATATTTTGTTAATTAAAAATATAAGTTAAATATAATCATTGTATTGACGCAAAAATTGCTAAAAAATGTTCTCTCGTAGTTTGACACAGATTTTAAGCATTTCCTGTTAATCAATTCCGTTTTGAAATATTTTCTCAGCGTTTTCTGGCGGAAACTCGACTATATTTTGTTTATAAATCGGACAAGATTTTTTGAAATAAAATTGTTTATAAAATGTGATTTGATTTGAGTACCAACTTCTGAGATCATACTCTCTAGATCTCTCTAAAACCGAGTCTCTTTCTCATTTGATAACTTAGAGCGAAAGGAATTCTATTCTATGCCTCCACGAAGACAACAAGCAATCGATTGCAAATAGTTGCTTGTTTAACTGCCTATTTATCCAGAATATAAGCTAGATCCCCTGAAAAATAAATGATCGACAATGAGAGGAATAAGGGAAAAGAAAATGGAACTTAATTTCTTTTTGTGTCTTTGAGTCACCCTGTGCTTATTGTTAACCTTAAGTTTTATGTATCCATTTCATAATTGATTTTTCTTCTTTCATTTTTGAATTATTTAATAGTTTTCGAACATCTCACAATTCAATATACATTTTACCGTTATAAAAACACTATTTTTTCTAACTGTCCACTGTACTGTTTTAAAACTGTTAACTGATTGATTCATTTATTTGTTACAGCAATCCTGACAGCCTAACGAATCGCCGTTGGGGTTCGATGAGACAGTAAGCAAAATTTTACTAAAGCAAACCAATTTTTGTACCATATATGAGTTATATAATCTTAACTAAATATCATAATCAGCACTTGTAAATTGCTTGCTAAATTATTTTGCTTTCGTTAATATTAAAATGATTAAAATTTTTTATTATTATTGCACTGACATGAATGAAAATTGGTTGAGGTCATTTTTTGCTTTATAAACTTAAAATGCACTTATATACTTGTATTTAGGCATATATACAGGCATATACTGTGTTTGAATATTTTTAACTGTCTGCATCTTATTTTTAAGCAATATATATTATATATACATACATATTTGTATACTCGATATACCTTAAAAATGTACATAAATATTTTTATATTAAATTTTTTTTCTTACTATTTTGCATGTTCTTCTTACTGAGAAAATATTTTTTTTTTTACAAAATTTTTTTTTTTTAGCAAATTTTTTCTTCACAAAAGATTTTTTTTTCCATAAAAGTATTTTTTTTATTTACAAATTAATTTTTTTCATCCATAAAATGAATTTTTTTCTTCACAAAAATATTTTTAATTCATAAAAATATTTTTTTTCTTCACAAACAAATTTTTTTCTTATATTAACAAAAATAAATATTTTACTATACAATAATTTTTTTGTTTATTAAAATATATTTTCCTTTTAAATAATATTTTTTGTTCATTATTAAAATATTTTCTTTCTTTATAAATATATATATTTTTTCTTTATAAACTTTTCCTTCAAAGAAATATTTTTTCCTTATAATAATATTTTTTTCTTTATTAAAATATTTTCTTTCTTTATAAATATATATATATTCTTTATAAACTTTTGTTTCAAAAAAATAAATTTTTCTTCGCGGACTCCTTAATTCTTACATATTTCTTTATATCTCTGCAACTTCAACTTATTCACCATCAAACCGCATTGTATTATAAATTTTCTCCTCGCCCCAACATACATATTTACGCCATCGCCATCGGCTTTTTTCAATTAACGCAAGAGGAAAGAGAAATGTGCGCTCCTCTAATAAAAATGTCAACTTTGTATTTTTCTTAGTTACACGCATTTTCTTCCTCTGCGCTTATTTACAATTATTTGTGTGATAATTTCTGCTGGCCAACGATGGACATGTCGCAATTTCCGCCTGAAATTAATGGTCAATATATTGACCGAGAAGTGGCATTGCGCAATCGAAGTCAGCAAACGGCATAAATAAATGGTGAATATGTGCTGTTATTGTTGTTGGTGGCGCATAGCGGCGCATAGAAAAAAGTATACAGAGAGCAAATAGCACATATTTTGCTTGCACTCCAATGTGTCTGCGTTTGAGATCGCTTTCGGAAACGCTTAGAGCTAGATTAATTGCTAACGATTCGCTGGCGCTGTTGTAATCAAGCACGCGGTATTAGGTACATGCTGTTCTTGTTGTTGGTATATGAGTAACTCTGAAAGTTAGTAACATATAACAAATGTATGTTCATATACATATGGTATATGTATATATTCACTTTTATTTACTTGTTTCATTTTTGTTGAATTTGCTTGCAATGAAATGATTTTGTTTTCAATTCTGATGATATCACTTTCGAAATGCTTGTATTAATGATTTATTCTATTCAATTTTATGACATCAGCATAATTCTCAGGCGTGCATATCTTCAAGGCCATTTATTGAAGTAATTGTGATAATTTGTTGTTATATTCTTGGTCTTTATTGTGCGAAAATAGACTGTCCAAAGCAGATGGGAAGCAGATAACGGAAAAATTATTTTTCTAAAAGCGCTCAGTGCGCGCTGTCAAACCTTCGAATTGGTCTCTGATAAAAGTCACTCATACACTCAAGATCAAATTTGACTCGGACTGGTACTGGAAAATCTCCTAAAATCGCTCGAAGTTCACTTTTAAGGCATTACGGGAAAAAGCTTGTTGGAAATAAATCTGGATTACTAGATGACCAGTGGTGGCCACCTGTTTTAGATAATCGTTGCTGAAAGCTTTCATGATATCGTAGATCTAGAGGGATTTCGGAAGAAATTAAATACCTTTTAAAGATTCTCTAGAATGTACACTAACCTCACTATCCATTGACTTATAAATGGACGTAGCCAACGGTTTTATATCGCCTTAAAACTTCTGTTGAACTTTAATGGGAGGCTTTTCAGAAATATAATCAGTATTTGAAATGAACGCTTTAGGTGAATCATGGTTTCGAACAATCCCTTGTAAATATGTTTCTTCTTTCTATCTTTAAAGTCTACTCAAAGCTCCAATTGCTGGCTGAAATTAACTGTAGCTACAAACAAAACAATAACCAAATCATAAATATAAAAAATATTAACAATGATCAGCTTGATTAAGCCTGCCAAGAGCTACAGCTTTAGTGTTATTTGGAATTGATCCAATTCTGTTTAGTACTACAAATTTTTGTCTTTCATTGTTTGCCCGACGGCGAACAGATCATTGGAATTTAGAACAAACGCATTTAAAGTTGCATAGCGAATTTCATGGCACTCCCCTTTCTCATCTCAACGAAAGACCAAAAGCTGTTGAGCCACAAGCAAGCAAGAATATGAGACGAAGACGCAGAAGACTTCGCAAGCCATTGCCATGACAACTTGGCCCTTCAGTCTTAGTGCTCTTTCGCCAACTGTATACTTATCAGCTTTCATTTTGCTTAACAATAGTTTTGTTGTAGTCCGAGACCGGTTCCTAAGTCTCAGAAAGAATATTTGAACTGTGTGATGAGTCAAGGAAAAACGTGTAGGAAAAAAGCAATGAAGGTGAGTAGTTGAACGAAGCCCATGTAAGTGAAGATATTGCATTGAAGCTGGCCAGCCAACAAATAGATCGCTTTGTTCAAGTTCCAGCTTACGGGAGAGTGCAACAGTAGACTCCCCTGTATATATGAAGTACATACTACTACGGCCAGAGCAATGGCCAAAGAATCAGTTAACAACGGACCTTTTTCTCGAAGTGCTACACGCTTCGTTGGTTCGCATTTGTCGCGCTGCGGCATGCAACCAGTGATGGTGGCGGTGGTGTTGGCAATGTTGCTTGCGTTAGCTGCCATTCAACAGGCTGTTGCATGCGCTTGTTGTTGTAGTGCATATTTTTTGCTCTATGCTTTTGCCACCACAATAATTATAAGAGTTATGTATGTAGTTGTTTGGTGCAGTGAAAAACCACAACTGCAACAACGTCATCATTGTCAGCGTCATGACATAGGAATGTGAACGTGCGCGCATGCGCTGTTAAAAACCCGTCGCGGTTGCCTGTTTGGCTTGGTGATGGCATGAAAGTGTGACGGTTGCGTGGCAGCGGGGAAATGGTTGGTTGGATAGTTGGTTTGGCAGCAAGTTATGTCGTTTGTGTATCACACTATGTTGGCTTCTTGCTGCGGTGACGCATTTTTATGCTTTTATCCACTTTTCAGTTATTTTTCAAAGCTTGGTTTTGATGCTGTTGAATTGCGTTAGCAAAAAAATAAATAAAATTTCAATAAGTTTCTTAATTTTATCTACTGTATGAAAATAATACCTCAACTCACTTAACTTTTCTCCATTGAACTTGTGAAACGGGGTAAAAAAATATATCTTAATGTCAATTGAAGCTCAATTTATATATTTTTAGGTTCAAGCAGATTATTATAACAAATATAGTGCTAAAAACTTACCATATGTGGATCATTGTTTGATAGTGAACTTGTGGAACACTTACAATATTCGATTGATACGAGCTCGTATAACAAATTCTAACAAACACTAATTGTTCAACCTTCCAAAAACTGACAACTTTAACCCACCACTGAACATTTACGTGTAAATGAACTTGTGGAACAGCAAAGCTGTTAGATGGAATAATGAAAAAGATTTGAAGTTTAAATGCACCTTAATTGAGAGAGCTTCGCCAAAACAACCACAAATTTCTATCATTAACTCCTCATTAAATTGTTAGTTTTCGTGGCGAGCTGTATGAATGGGAAATTAATGATGAGTAATGATTTTGTGCCACGAAATTATGTTGCCTTAAGCACAAATTGTTAGCATTTTCTATTGTCAAAGCTGCGCAGCGTAAGGTTTTTCGTTGCTCTTGACTTGGCACTAAAACGTAGAAGTATGCAGCTTCTATTACTATTGTTTATGGGAAAAGAATTACGTAAATTACTTAATTATACATAAATAGTAGACAAAGTTTAATAAATAAGAACCTCATAAATAACGATATACAGTTACTTGAGGCATTTTTTAAACTTTGTTTAGTAGTAAAAATAGTATAAACATAAAAAAATGTCTTTCATCATGCTTCTATACTTCGACTTTAGTACTAGGGTATACTTTCCCACAGTTTTGTTTAGTTGCTCGCATTTTTTGTGTAGTATTAATATTATACTTGAAATTTGTGTCGCTTTTTAATCACACATTAAGCCGCTTTCATTTCATGGTAGGCTGAGCTGAGAAGAGTCTTAAAAGTATGGTTGATAAATGTGTTCCATACTCTTTCTTGCATTTCTTATTTTGCGTTTTACTATGTGCATGCATTTTTTTTTCATTAGTCCATCACATGTAAACAGCTTTCGTTCCATTAAATGATGATTAGCTTTGCAATTTGTTGTTTTCGCAATGTTATTACTATACATAAGCTAGAATTTTATTTCTGACTACTTTTCTTAGTGCTATAGTTCAACTAGTCGACACTTATCTGACAATATCCTACTCTTTTCTTAATTATATATTCTTTTTTAAAAATTTCTGAATAAATTAGTCATCTCAGTAAGTTAAAGTTTTCTTACTATTTAGAATGCTCTAAAATTTATCAAATTTTTCATAGTATAACAGCTGTTTCAGCCGCTTTAATTATTTTAAACCAGTGATATAAGTGCTCATATTGATAAACTTTAAGTCATGCGCTGTTTCACAAGTTCACCTATATGAATTTCATAATCTAAAGCGTTTCACAAGTTCAATTACTTAAGTATGTGTAATTACCTAAGGTGTTACTCAAGTTTAGTAAAATTCCTTATAACTTTTAAAGCAGATCTGACTTATATTGTCTTAGTTGATTAGGTCAAAAGCAGGTATTAGATTGTGCTTTTTCTAGACTGAATGCATAGTTTCAACTATAAAAGATTATTATTTAACATATTTTTCAAAACTTAGCTTATGATTCATCAAAAATATATGGACCTTTTGATATAATTTTAATTAGATACAAAAAAATTTTGTCTTCAAAGACACCGACTACTTGCAAGAAGTTGTGGCAAGGACAACTATTTATAGCTAAACTATATCTACCCACTTTCTGTTAATTAAAATTGCTGAATTCTATTAATTATTGGCAAAAATTAATTATATACAATTTATAATGCCGAAACATTATCAAAATGCGCAGCTGAGGTTAGGTGTGATTGTATATTTATATATGTATATGTATAATTTTTCAACCCATTTTAATGCAGCAGTTTAAAAAATTAAATAAGTTGTTACGAATTCACCAATGCATTGTTGTTCACATATGTAAGTATGTAGGTATTTCTAGTATTTCTATTAACTCCCCACTAAGTCAAGGCTAATAAAATACTTATAGTTAATTGAGCCGTAAAGCCTAATTAATCAACTTATTGAAATTAAAAAATATATACCATATATTTATTTATGTATATATATTTATGTGTATAATAGTTTAAATCAACAATGTACAGATATAATTAATAGATACAATAAATTAATACCAATTACATAAATTAAAATACAGGAGTTCTTATTAACCATAATCCGCTAATAATCCCAATTTGCATTATTGCATGTCAATAAATTTACATATTTCTACATAAGCATGCACATACTCATACAAATAAATATATCAAAAGTCCACCCAAGCATATCATAACATTTTTACACATTCACATATACAATCAAATATACATGTATGTATACAACTACAATTTTCCCACACTTGACAGTCACGTAAAACGAGTTCCAGTGCACATCTTCGTTGACTTCTCACCGCCTTACATGGCATTGTTGTCTACACTTGAGTGACTTTTTCACAGGTACGAGCAAAAAATTATGCGGCAAAAAAGTATAAAAAATCGCAATACAAAAATAAAACAAAAAGAAAAAAACTTGTACAAAGCATTCATAATTCCTCAACTAAAAAAAATTTACTATCATGACGCATGCACACAGGTGCTCCTTTATGTTTTTTCTTCGATAATAGCAAAATTGTGCATAATTGCGTAAGTAATTAGCAAATGTGAAACAAAAGCATTTAAATTTGTTGCAATTTATATGGGAGAATAATGCAAATAGTGGCTAATCGTACTGCATGCGCTAAAGGACGGTTTATGTACAAGTATATGTATTCGTATTATATGTTTCCACTTGTTTTAAGCCAAACTAAATTCCAGGGTGCACTCGAGCAAAATATTTTATAATTGTGAGAATATATACATAAATTCACATAATTATTAACAATCCTTAGGGCTGGGAAACCAACCAAGTTTCCAGATTTTTCTCGAAAAATACATAAAATAAAGTTCTCTGTATTTATATGTAACCCTTATATAATTTTATCAATTATATACAGTTAAATAGATTTTTATATTATATAAACACTTTTGGCATCGAACATCCACCGTATAGAGATTTTATTACATTTCACGAATGCGTCAAGAATGGACAGCAAATTAAAAACCTCTTAATGAGGAAAAGATGCAAGAGTGTAAAAAGTTGTTACTTTAAATATATGTTATACTTTTATACTGGTCTAGTTTCAAAATATATATTTTTGTTTAGGGTTTCCAAACAATTGAAGTTTTAAAATTTGAATGTTGTTTCGAAAGAAATAAACCCATAATCAAAGTGTTTCACAAGTTCACTAATAGAAAAAATTTATCCAACTGAAGTTTCACAAGCTCAAATACACGAATTCTTTCTTTTTGCTAGTTTTTTTTGTTTTAACTTAGTTTAATTTTTATGACAAATATTTGAAAAGTTTTGGAATTTTTATTTGTCTTGAAGGCACCCACTGCTTGTAAAAATGATATTTACCTACTTTCTGTTAATTAAAATTGCTAATTATTGCCATATTATAGTATGAATGTATGAAGTATGAAAATAGTACTTGACTAATTATTTTGTATTTTTCAGAGGGTGGCAATTCTGGTTAAAGGTTTTTTACAATTTTATAATAGCTTTTTATTTCCTATCAATTACGTTTTTTTACATATTTAAATAAATTTTATTTCTTAACAAGTGACTTTCAAAAATATCCAAACTGTACTGCAATGCTCTCCTGGTTTCCCGAAATATATACAAAATATATTTGTACAAAATTTATATAAAAAAAAAAAATTATATGCAAAAAAATATAACAAATAAAAAAAAAATAAAATAAAAAAAAAAATTATTGTAAAATAAAATAAAACAAAATAACATAACGTGGCATAACATAACATAACAAAAACAAAAAAAAAAGGTTTAATAAAATCCAAAAAAATAAAGGGTAATTACAAATTTAGAAAATATTTCCGTGAGGAACAACTCCAATCAAACGGTGTTAGTGGTGAAAGAAAAATGGTGGTGTGAAATGCAAAACAATGTAGCGAAAAAGCAATGCAGCATAATAACAAAAAATAGCAAACACAGATTACCATCCAAATGCATTGAAAACGTACAAAGAAGAAACATCAAAATATATAATTAAAAGTGGCAAAAAGTTTATTGTGCCGATCTGCAAGCAACCAGCCAACAAATGCCACACATTTTTGCATTGAAAAATCATTAAAAGAAAAGCAAAAAATGCGCATGTGAGCATCACAACACAGAAATCAACAGGCAATCAACAAGAAAGCCATACTTCAGCGTTGAAAAACAAAAGCGGAAAAGCAGTTATTTATACAGTAGTTGTTTATAGGCATTCACACCAATATATATATTTATGTATAAACCAATTTGCAATATGGAAATTTCCCCCATATCTGTGGAGATGCATCAATGGGGCGTAACGTGAAAGTGGGTGAGAAAAATTTAGCGTGCTAATGCTGAAATAATGAAAAGCAAAACAAAAAGCTTTGGAAACGGTAGCAACAGCTGGTTGAGCGATTCACTTTTTCCGCTTGCGTTTGCGTGTGTTTTTGTGAAAATGGAATGCGCGATGAATCGAAATGATAGGTGCCCTATCAAGCCAGATGCTGCAAAATCATATAATAAAATATATGTATATTTGTGGCTGAAAGTGAATTTTTATGGAGCAGTTAGTGGTAGTTAAGTTTGAGAGCATAGCTATTTGTTGCGATTTTCTTCATTAAAACGATTTTTTTTGTAAGTGAAATTGTGTTTTTTGTTAAATTTAGTAAATGAAAAGTTTTTCTGTATACTTTTTTGTTTTTGAATTTTGAAAAAATCAAACAAATTAAAGGCAAAATAAAATCATGCACATGACGTATGAGTAATATTTCTTAACGTGATGGAGAACATAAACTACAATTCAGAGGAATGCCGTGTACTTTTTTTCTTGGTTCAGATTTTATAGTTACCGTTGCTATAACCTCGAAAACAGCGAGTTATTAAATTTTCCGCGTGAGCGTGTGGCTTTTAATATACGAGATCCCTGAATAAAAGATCTACCTATCGCGGTCCATACATATTATTTATTTATTTACTTTAGACACCAGATTGACTCTTAATATTGAATTCCAGCACCTGAAAAAAGATAGTATACCCCAAAAAAGTTTGCGAAATGGCGCTCTATAGTTGAGTGGATTCCATATATGTCGAAAAGTGGCGCCCTAATTAGTAATTGGTTCTGACATATACGATTTTTAACTGAGAACATATTTTTGGCATCGTCAGTCGAGGCCTTGTTATGGGAACAGATGTCTATTTTGCATTCTGTTAAAGAGATCATTTTGTACCTAACCATCGTACAGGCTTTCGAGGTCTCTCTGTTGTTGCAAAGAACACTGAAATTAGTTCTCATTATTTTGAGTAAAAAAATACCAGAAATAACGGCACTTTTGTGTGTGTGCTACGTATGTGAATGGCTTAAGGTCTATATTCGTATACCAGCTCTCAGTTATTTTTGAATATTTTTGCCAGTTAAATATTTTCCATTTCTCTTTTAGTATTTTTATTATTTTTGCCATAAACAAACAATTTAAAAATTACCACATTTTTGCAAAAAGTCTTCACACACTCTCTACAAACCTTACATATATGTTTTTCAAAAATTTCCTAACGACCCTTTAATTAGGCTTTCAACTGCCCATTTCCGCAAATCGCTACCTATAATAATTATGAACTGAAAATATTGCAAATACAAACATATCGGCCGTATTTATTTTTACAACCAATAATTCAACAAAAACAAATCACTACCCAGTCAACCAGCCAACCGGCAATAGGTGGAGGTGCGGCTCCGAACATGTTGCCTGGCATAGCGAACCGCAGCACGCAACAAGCACAGCAAGTTAGCTTTCGAAGCTTCAAGCTTTTTAACTGCTTTCAATATATTTTGCTATATTGTTATTGTTGCTTTTGTTTTGTGCATTGCATGTCAGCATTGTTGGCTTAAACCCGCCTCGCAACGTTCAGCTCAAACGTTCGAATGCGTTTGCAAATTTTAGTGTCGAGTTTGCGGCAAAGCGAAATGGTTGCGTGTGAATTGCGGGTTTAACGTGTGCGGTAGTCGAAGTCGTGTGCGTTTCGGTAAAGAAAATAAGAAAAACAAAAATAATAATAATTAAGCGATTTTTAGAATACTCAAGCGGGTAGATTAACGTGATCAATATTGTTTATTTTGTGATTTGCAATATTTTAGCGCGACGGCGAAAAAGTGCGAGAATTGCCGGCAAGCTAACAAAAAATTGTGAATTTAACAAAGCAAGGCAAATTATTTTATATAATACTTGACGCTAAAGTGCTGTGTGCGTGAAATATTCAGCAAATACAACATAAAGTTATTAGTGACGCCAGATTTTGCCGAAATTGTCGAAAGTGAAAACGAAAGTAGGTCTAATAAGATTTTCGACTTTGTTGCTGTTATTGTTATTAATGTTGTTTCTATTTCTGTTTCTGTTATTATTGTTTTTGTTTGTAATGTCTGCAAAAAAATTATGTGTAGCAGTGTTGTTGTTTTGTTGGCTATTTAGCTTCCTGTCGTGCCTCAGTGTCTAAAATCTCATTTTTATTTTGTGCAAACCGGAAGCATAAATGTGTTAACTGTTGATTCTTTTGTGGTTTATTCTTTCGCTATGATGAGCGAAAGTAAATTTTTATTAATAAAAGCATATATCATAGCGTAAGCAGTGGTATTATTGTAAAAAAAACGGTTTTTTAGCAATATTAAAAAAGTATAAAAAAAAGAAATTGTGCAAAATTTTAGTGGCTCTTGGCAAACACTGGAAAAGTTTTCTAAAATAGGCATAGAAAAGATATTTTAATTATTAAATATTGCAAAATTAAAAAAAAATTGAAGTGAATAATTAAAAAACAAAAACTAAATAAATAAAGTATTAAATATGATAAAATTCTTGTAAAAATACCTTAAAAAAACTTAAATTATTAAAAAAAAAATTAAATTATATAAAATAATTAGTTCGAAAATTAAATAAGTTAAAACATAATTAAGTTTGAAAATATAAAGTGCTAAACAATTATTTTAAATCAATAATAATGAATAATAAAATTAATAAAAAATTTATTGTTAAAATAATATCTGAAAATAAATTTCTTAAAAACAAAGGAAAATTTATAAAATTGAAATAAATGAACTTAAAAAAAATAAATTAATAAAAAAATTGTGAATATATTTCTTAAAAATCAAATAATAAAAAAATTATGAGTTTAAAAGTTGTAAATATGTTTCTTAAAAACCAAAGAAAAACTTAAAAAAAACCTTTAAAAAAAGTCAATAAATGAACTTAAAAAAATATATAACGTTTGCATAAAAAACGATAAATTAAAGTACTAAGATTAATTGATTAGATAAAAAGTTATGGAGTTGAAATTAAAAAAATACTCTTAGAAAAAAATAATGCAAAACTTATAAAACTTTTAATAGAAAAATAATAAAATATAAAATGAATATCTTAAAAACCGAAAAAAAAATAAATAAAAAAATTAACTTAGAAAAAACATAACATTTCAATAAAAAAAAAAAAATTGACTTATAACAGTAATAGTGTTGACTAAATTGAAAATTATCGACTTTAAATAAAAACTAAATACTATAATAAAATATAAATAATTAAATTTTTAATGTAAGAATTAAAAAATAAAAATAAAATAAAATTTGTTTATAAACGCAAAATAATTTTTTTAAAAGTGTATCTTGATTTTTGAGATTTCGACCTGAAATTTTGCACACATCCCTTTCTTCGTCGGCACCGAAAATATCGAACCACTATGAAAAGCTTTTTTATTTTGCGAGAGATCTTCAAGAAATATTGTATTGATTATTGTTTAAGGTTGAGGTGTAATCTCGGAATAAATTTTTCAGATCGAATCTGTGTAGCATATAGCTGTCACACAAACTGAACCATCAACATCAAGTTTATGTATGGAAAACTTTTTTAATTGCGAAGGGTATTATAACATCGCTTGTTAAAAAAAAAACAATATTTTAAATAAATTTTTATCAAAAGGTCTTCCTTCATTTAGTAGTAATTAACAATAAATCATTTTAAAACTGAAACAAAAGTTGTTTCTTGTTTAATTTTCCACTTGTGTTTCTTCAAACGATTTACAAAATTTCAAAAACTTAATTTTTGTTGCAAATGGTTTTGCACGCCGTTGCCTTCATCAATACAAATCCATTGTTAGTTGTGCCAAATATTTCTTTTGGAGTTTTGTTACGCCTTAATGACTACGACAAAATGCGAACAGCAATGAGTTAAATGCGCGCTTAGAGAAGCCAAAACTTAAAGAAAATAAAAAAAACACAAAAAAGCACAACTCATCATTAATGACTGACACCCTGCTGCGTCGACGCCTCTGCATTTACCATATATGTGTACATATATGCTTTTGCAAACATACATACATCTAAGCTGGTAGACACATACTTGTATATATGTCTATATGCATGCATATGTGCGAAAGTTGCGCTTCAGTTTCTTGCGTCGCCGCGGCAGTGCGAATTGATTTTCGCGCCTTGTGTCGTCTGTGAAATGTAAAAATTAGTTGTGTGTAGGCCAAAGCAAAAAGAAAATGTGATAAAAATAAACAAAATGAAATAAAATTATACAATTTTATAAAAGTAATATGGCTGCCTTTGGAAACATGTGAGCGACGAAATGAAATTAAGACAAAGGTGTTGAAAACTAAATTTGGCAGAGAGCGAAAATTTTAGAAAGAATAACTAAAAACAAAAATAAAACGTTAACTGCGACTGCAATAAAGCTATAATATCCTTCACAGGTGCATTTTTTATAGCATAAAAGGGTATAATATGAGTGTAATTTGGATTATGGTCGGTCAATTTGTATGACAGCTATATGCTATAGTGGTACGATCTAAACATATTGTTGCAAGATTAAAGCATTGCATTGAACAATAAGCCATGCCAAATTTCGTGAAGATATCTCGTTAAATAAAAAAGTATGAAATAGTGTTCCGATATCGATGATTCCGACAAATGAACAGCCTCTTTGGCAGAAAATGATGTTTAAAAATTTTCAGATCAATATTTCAAAAACTGAGGGATTTATTTAAGAATGAGGTAACTTTATTGAAAATTTAATTATCTTCTGCATGCTAGTTTTTAAATCGAAGTTAGTGTAAATTAGTTTGAATCTGGCTCAAATATTTTTTCACAGAAAATTTAAATATAAAAACGTTTGTACATTTCTACTTTTTTTGGCTTCATTTCTGTCGACAAACTTTGGCCATGCGTCATAAGTTCCAAAAAATGTACGTATTCCTATGTTATAAACAAGCATACATAAAAATGCAGCCATAAAACGTTTTTCATGCATATGTATGTATGTATGTACAAAAAATAATAATAAAAATACTTGTAAAAGAATATGTTAACTACAAAAATAATTAAATAGAAATTTGCTAACATACATTCATATATATACATATATATATATACATATGTATGTAGACATAGCAAATATAATTATTTTTGTGCGGCAAAAGTTGTATGCCTTTTTTGCATATCACAATTTCACCGTCAGAACACTGTGTTGATTCGTCATAGAAAAAATTTTTGCGAGGAAAGAAAAAAAGAACAAAAGTGGCAAAAAGCTGAGATGAAATCACATTGGCAAAAGCAGTGCTTATGATTATAGTCAACTATGTTTTAATACACATATACATATACATATATTTAAGCATATAAATATATATACAAGCATGAAAATGATGGTATTCGAAACTGTGTTAAAAAAAATAAAAAAAACAAAAGACAAAAATTAAATAAACTAATATATAATATAAAAAAAAACGAAAAAAAAAATATATATATATAATGAAATAAGAAGTAAAAAACGGATAAAATGTATTTAAAAAAAACCTTTAGAAAAAAATTAAAAAGCAATTAAAAATTTTAAAAATTAAATAAAAATTAAAAATATTAAATATAAAAAGAAGATATAATATGAGAGAAATTTTCATTTATATAATAAAGTAGCACTTACTTCACTTTCGTACATAAGTATTTCTCCCGAAGATCTTATGTATGTATGTACATGCACATCTAAAATACATGTACAAAGTCATACTGCAATAAATATACCCAACGATATCAACTGCATTTAGTCCAAATGAGATAAAAAGCGAGATTAAATACACATATATGTATATATATATATTATATTTATCACGTTGTTAGCGCAAATGAGTGCAATTTACAAAGATACATGTGTAAACATACTTATAACCTACATACGAGTATATACATATATTCGCATAATTGAATGTATAAAGAAGTAAAACAAAGTTACACAAATTAACGTGTTTTGCTGCAAAATAAATCAAAAAAATGACTAAAATTCAATAAAAAATATGTATAAATTTTTATATGAGTACAAGTGCTTATGCCTCAACACGCGTGTAATTAGTTTAATTGTCAGGCTACGTGCCGTGAAAGTGTAACTAATTTTATGGTGCGTAACTAATGTAATGCCACAAAAAATGTGCAAAGTAAATGGCAAAAATTAGAAATTAAAACAAAATAATAATCAAATAAAATGAAAATGCACATAGAAAAAATAAAAAATATTATATAAAAAAAATCAATAAATATAAAGAAAAATAAAAAATCTTACAAAACCAAAAATATACAAGAAAATGTGAAGAAAAAGATTTAAAAATTATAAAAAAATATTAAAAAGAAATAAAAAAATATAAAAAATTATCTAAAAATAAATACTCAATTAAAAAGTAAAAGAATAAAAACTACAAAAATTATTTTAATGCCTTGTTTACTCTCCTACTTTGTGTGTTGTGGTAAGACCATGCGTATGAGCAACATCTTTTTAAGCAACGTAATGAACATTACATATGTAACGGATAATGTTAATGCTCTGCAAAAGGGGGCGAAACTACACTAAAAACATTATTTATTAACCAGAATCTCTATCTTCTAACAAATTTCCCACATTTACTTTCAAATCACGCCTCAAACTATAATGGTTTTCGCGGAATCACTGAAATGTATCAAAACGAAAAAAAGAAAAGTTATTTTCACACAATAAAATAAAGAACTTAAAATACCCTATGTTATGATTTGATTATAAAATCGATTTAGACTACGTACTACTACAATAGAACAAAAAATACTTTCTTGGTAAAAAAAATCTGAAAGCGCACAATCATCTAGCTGGTCAATATTTATATGCATTGCTATCATAGCCTTATCTAATAAAGGTACTTCAAGTTAATACGTGAACAAACAAATTAATAATCACAAGTGTCATACACATGTACATATGTATGTTTCTAGATAACGGTTATCAAACAGTACACATGTAATAAGAGCCAACTCAGGCAACAACAACAAAGATTGATATGAAATCTTAGCAACAATCTTCTTTTCACATTACTTTTTTTATAGAAATACCTTAAATTTAAATGAAAGGTTTTATATAATTTGATAAGTAGGTAAATTTATCAAAAAACCAACTAAAATAAAAAATTAATAAAATAAATACACTAAATAAAAAAAAAATTGTTTTAATTAAAAAAAAAATTAAAAAAAAATTTTTAAATAATAAAAATATTTAAAAAAAATTATTATAAAAATTGTAAAAATAAAGTAAAAAGTGAAATAAGAAACTAAGCGTTAACCAAAATTATAATTATTAATTAAATATAGTACATAAATATTTATAATAATTTAAAATAATTAAATATAGTACATAAAAAAAAATTACAGCAACAATAACAAAAAGATACCAAATATTTAACAATCAGGCGGTAACAACAAACCAATGCTAATAAAATTAGTTTTGACCATTACAGCATTAAAAGCAATAATAAGAACTGTTATACAACAAAAAAAATAGAACAATAGCAAAAACAAAATTAATAAAATCCAGCAACTCCTGCAGTTACAATTATATGCGATTAAATCTTCAACGCCCGTTAACAGCCATAACTACCATCTACAACAACAATAATAACAACAATAACTAACTACTAACAAGCGCCATCGTTGCACTACTCACACAATTTGCATCTCTCCTCAACCGCAGCTGTCAGTCATATTTTTGTGGCTTAATTTGTGCAACGTTGTTACCGGCGACACAAATTAAAAGTTGAACGTTACCACATCGCTGGTGAAAAAAGTGTGTGCCACAAGTTGCGGCACTAATTTATGTTGAGCGCTTAGCAGCAAAGCGTTTTAAAACTATTACTTATTTACTTTGATTTTTTATTTGTCGCCGTGTGCTACGCAATAACAAAACAAACGCTTAAATGGATAATGATTATTTTCGTTTTGTACCGTACGACCACAGTCACTTGCAGAAGTGCGTATACACAATTTTATTTAATTTGTTTGCTTTATATAATATTTTTTGGGAACTTGTTTAATGGCTTTCTGCTTATGATCTATTGGTTTTGGACTTTATTTGTTGAACATTATTTAAGTAATTATTATTATTTTTAATTATTAATTTCCTTTTTTTTGTAATTTATAAATTTTTGCATTTAATTCAATTCGTTTTGTTATTATGTAATTTACATTTTTTTAAATTAAAAATATTTTTATTATTATTATTATTATTTTTTATTTATTAAATTTTTTACGTGTTTTTGTATGGTATTGTCGCTTTTTAACGCACCTTTAATTTCTTTGAATTAGTTTTTTTAATTTTTTCATTTCCTTTTTCATTTTAATTTTTGTTAATTTGATGTTTTTAAATTTTTTTCCTATTATTTGAATTTTTAAACTTTTTTTTAAATTTTTTTTCGATTTTTATAAATTTTTTAATTTGTTTATATTAATATTTTTATGCGGTATTGACGCTTCTAAACTTAAATTTATTTTTATTTAAAATCTATGCATTTATATGCGTTTTCTTTCTGATAAGCTTCAAATGCTCAACATTCTCAAATTACAACCATTTCATAAACGAACACAAAATGTTGCCACGCTATTTGTGACATCAGCAATTATTTAAAATATATAACTATACATAAGCATTTATATGTCCGTCTCATTTTTTATTAACTCGTTAATTATTTTAATTTGTATGTGTTTTCCTCCTTTTTATGGCGCTTTTAATGGTATATATCATATTTCACCTTGCTAAAGGTCATACAGCTGGTAATATATTTTGTTATATTTGAAAATTTAAAGCAAAAAAATGTAATCTGAACAATTTGTTAAGTCAATTAATTTTATTTAAAAAGGTAGCATATCCAAGAGAAACTACAATAAGTAACGGATTCATTTAATGAGTTCATGGCTGCGAGTTTCGGTTATCAGCTACTTTGTATTGAAGTACATTTTAGGCATAAATAAATAAATTATATTATATATAGAATATTTAGGTAGACCTTTATTTGAGAGAAGACTTTTAAAGAATTACAGCTTCTTGAAAGCCAGAAAATCACATTTTTTTATATTATTTTTGAAGAGGCACTTTATTTAAATAATAAATAAAAATATTGCACATTTACATAATTTAATATACTTTATTGAACAACTATTAATTTTGAAAATTTTTGGATTTCCTTGATCCCGAAACCGATCTCCAAGAGGACTTCCAAAAATGGTGCATTTGTCAGATAAACTTGAAATTTTCGGAGAATACTCGATTTTCTGATTTTGATCGATATAATACGGACGAAACTCAGTTTCCCCAAAGAACTGTATTTATTACAGCACATAAGTAAAACTTTCCAAAGAAAATGAGGCCAGAGCGTCGAACAAGTTGTATTATCAATACATGATATTCGTTGTTGAAGGCAAACGTTGTAAAAAAAGGAGGATAAAAATTCACTGAGCTTCTAAAAGAAAATAAACTGAGATAGATTGAGAAAACATCAACTTTACGACACGTTGACGTTAGCAATGCTCAACTTTCCAGGTTACGGAAGACAGTTAGCATCGTAAAATGACTGGCCTTATTACCAACGTTTGCCTAGTAAACTTAAATAATTATAATGCGGATGCTAAAAAAAGTACCCAGACAAAAACAACCGCTTTAAAAAATTTATTGTAAATTTCTCAGTAACTAAATTAAAAGGGAAAAAGTTAAGTACAAAGTTGACCTAAAACCAAACGCTTTTTACGATTTTTTGCAATTTTTGCCATAATTAAATTTTATTATTTTTTCCACTTAATGTACAAATATTTCCCGAAAAATGTGCTTTTAAATACGCATTAAATGATAAAATTGTCAAGCATAATAAAAGCCGCAATGAGAATGGTTACAGCAACGCCGCGCTGGACGTAACTTTTGCGCATTTGAGTTGGCGAATTTGAGGTTATGTAAGCTATGGCAAACGTGAAAGATTTGACCAAGTTACGGACATACGGACTTGGCTGACAGCTGATTATTTTATCTGACAGATTTCGCTTTCTATTTCTGATTTGTTTGAAGTGCCGTTATTTGCTTGCATTATTTATGGCTTTATATTCGCTGTAATAGTTTTTTAAATTAATTAAATCAATGAAATTTAAGCAAATATTTGGCGTATGTCACTACGAAATGCGCTCTCTCTATCTCTCACCCTCTCTCCCCAGTTGTTTGCAATCAAATAGTGCTAACAATGCTGCGATTATAATGCATTATTATTCAAAAAAAAAAAAAAAAAAAATTAGAACATATATTTTTTGTGGTAAATATTTTCTGATATATTTTTGGACATTTTTTATGCAATTTATATTGTCGGATTTCAATTTTTAGTTTCATTTTTATTTTTTCGTAACAGTTTCTGTATTTATTATTCATATATGATTGTTTATATTGCTTCATGTTAGTATTCCCACGTTTAAATCGCTGTTGCTAACTTTTCTGACTCAGTCATACCCACAAAGGTATGTAGATATGTTTTTGACAATTCTTTGCTAATTGGTTATGGCGTTGAAATGCGTTTTTCTTGGAAACAATGGCAAATACTTATGAGAATATTAAATGTGCAAATTCTTAGCAACATTAACTTACAACTACCAACCCTTTTTATTATGCGAAAATTCTTATTGCCGTGGGTAGTGACACCAAACTGTCAAAAATGTCAAAAAATATTGCGCCTTAATTTATTTGCATCGTTGATTTTTTAATATATTTGACAGCTGACCATCGATGAGAGAATTATGTGGTAGCGAAAAATTAACTGGTATTTCTACTGAATAAAATTGTGGTTAATTTTTATTTTTTGTTAGTGTAATTGGAAAAACTTTAATAAATACGTTTGCGAGGTTAGGTCTGACTTAAAGAATATTTTTATTTGTAAGGCTCGATTCCAAAAACGACTCTAAGGAATGCCGAAACGAAAAATAATAGAAAGAAAGTTCGGGTTGACTTCAGAAATATTTTGTATAATTTGTAAAGGTCAGTTCCATAAATAACTCTAAGAAATGGTGATTCGAAAAATAATGTGATTCGGCAAATAGTTTTGCATGTAAGAGCGTACTTGTAAGAATTTTGTTAGGTATTGATCGAAGAAATACCATTTTTAATAACGAGTTTTTAAGTCACTCTGAGGTGTAAACTTTTCCACAAACCACACCATTCTTTGGGAAGCCGCCATTTCGTCAAAAATCAGATTTTTGATTAGTCCTTCGATCATTATTTGTATTCTTTCATGGTTATAATAATTTTTTTTTTTGGTTTCTGTATATGAGATGATTTTAAGTGGAGAAAACTTTCTCAGTGCTATACAAAGTCTTACAGAGGTGCTCATGGAGATCAACTACAGAATCAAGGGAATTGAAAATTTTTTAAAATGAATCACCGATTAATAAAGAACATTATAAGTAAAAGTAAATTTTAATTTATTTATTAAAAAAAAAATTACAAAAAAGCCGTTTTTTTTACTTGCAAGAGGATATATATTGATTTATAGTATAAATATGGACATATCATTTGTCTGTATTTTGCATTAATTTGAAGCATTAGTGTCCAAGATATTGTTAGGTTAAATCACGATATCGGATCTAGAAAATATTGTTTAAAATAACTCAAATTTACTTAAGGCGACTTACGCTACTTTAACATATAATCACAAGTGCCTTCTTTGAACATTTCTATTTTATTTTACATTGCTATAATTTTTTATTATATTTTTTTATAGTAAATAACTGCTCATATAATATATATGCAAATATTAAGCGTTTTTGCCGTTCGCTCATTGCAGCCGATACTTTGCACGACTTAGCCATTATGAACAAAGGTGACAATATTAACAATCACAATAACTAGCTAGCTTTGCAATAAAAGAAAAATCGAAAAAAAATCTCAGCTTTGCATTGCATGCCAGCAAAATGAAAGCCATTTCTTATGCCACTCAGTATTCTGTTGATTCTCTTGGTATGTAGGGTTTCTTGAACTCTGGCTTCATGCGGCGTACCTGTCAGTCACCAACCAGCTGACAAACTGTTTTCGTACCACAGCTGACGTGCTAACTGGCAGACTGAGTCAGCCTGGACTTGCGGGTGTTTTTAATGGCATTTGTGCTTTGTCTTTCTTTGTAGACCTTTGAGTTGTTGATTGGTTTTTTCTTTTTATTTCAATATTTATTGCATTTTTAACCATAACAGCTCACAGTTTATATTTATTTGCCTACTTGGTTCCATATATACCTATATGCAATATTAGTAAGCTTTTGTGCCAGTTGGACTTGTTTCAATGAACTTTGCTCTTTTTTATGATTTTGCTTTATGCTGTCAGCATTTATTTATTTATCTACTATGAACAGATATTGTGAGCGTAAAAGAATGTAAGAGTAATCTATATTTACAACCTGAACAGAGCATATTTAATTTTCTACGAAGTAACACCCAGAAGAATGGTAGGGAGACCGATTTAGTCACTTCGACTCTATATGAGCAAACTAGTCCCTCAGTTTTTGAGATATCGATCTGAAATTGTGCACACTTCCTTTTCACTCCAAGAAGCTGTTCATTTGTTGCAATGATCACCATAGTATATAGCTGCCATGCAAACTGACCGATCGAACTCAAGTCCTTGTATTGAAAACTTTTTTATTTGGCAAGGAATCCTCATGAATTTTGGCATATATTATTATCTCAGACATCTCTACAATCTCTAACAAAATATTGTTAAGATTGGTCTATTATAGCAAATAGCTGTCATACATACTAACCCATCAAAATCTAGATAAAGCTCTTAACTTAAGGTGTAGTCAAGTAGGGAAGTGCTCAAAGATTTTAGACGAGAATCAATTCGTAACTCACGAAAGCTGAAATTATTAGCATAGAATTTACGAAGATCATAATTATTTTTTATGAACTTTTTTTTTTAATTATGGAAATATAATAACACGTTCCTTGATTCAA